CCGTTCCGCGTGGGGCTGTACACGGGCGAGATCAGCACGACGCGCGCCCTGGACGAGGCGGACTCTCCGCGGCAGCGCCTGCTGGTGCTGGTGAAGGACCATGGGGAGCCGGCGCTGGTGGCCACCGCCACTGTGCTGCTGTCGCTGGTGGAGAATAGCCAGGCGCCAAAGACCTCCTCGCAAACGTCTCCTGGCGCCGCGAACGCGGAGGTGGCGCTAGTGGACGTGAACGTGTACCTGATCATCGCCATCTGCGCGGTGTCCAGCCTGTTGGTGCTCTCGCTGCTGCTGTACACGGCTCTGCGGTGCTCGGTACCGCCCACCAAGGGTGCTTGCGGGCCGGGGAAGCCGGTGCTGGTGTGCTCCAGCGCGGTGGGCAGCTGGTCTTACTCGCTGCAGAGGCGGCAGAGGGTGTGCTCTGGGGGAGGGGCGCCCAAGACGGACCTCATGGCCTTCAGCCCCAGTCTTCCTCCCGGTCCGAACATGTCGGAAGAAAATGAACACCCAGAAGTAAATTCGGAACATTCTGGTAATGTAAGTCCAACTTTCAAGCTTTGCCTTTAATGTTTTTTAGTTTAACTTATATAATCACCTTTTTAAATGTGACTTTTTAGAATGTATTCAAAGTGTCCACTAAAATTGAAAGAAATCTTACCATTCAACACAGGTATTTATTTTATTATTTACAGCTGCATCCTGAATGGAACATAGAAATAACAACCACAACAAAAAAAATGTAGGGACACATTGATGTATTCTTCGAAAAAGCATCCTACTTAAAAAGAACACACAGAGAAAATACTAAGTAGTCTTGATTACATTTAACACAGGATCTGAACGTAGTCAATTACAGTGACATTTTCAAGTTTATTACTTTAATCTTGTAGTGAAATGTCAAGTCTTTGACCAAAATTAATTTCTCTTGCCCATTCGCATTACTAGGTTCATGTAGGGACACATTGACGTATTCTCCGAAAAAGCATCCTACTTAAAAAGAACACACAGAAAATACCAAGTAGTCTTGATTACATTTAACACAGGATCTGAACGTAGTCAATTACAGTGACATTTTCAAGTTTATTACTTTAATCTTGTAGTGAAATGTCAAGTCTTTGACCAAAATTAATTTCTCTTGCCCATTCGCATTACTATGTTCCCATAGCTATATTTCCTAATGTCCAGGCTTAGCGTCTCCTCCATAGACAATGTTTATTTATGGATCCATTCCACAAGCACATAACTCTCTTATATGCTAAGCCCTGCTGTAGAACCTAGGGACAGAGCAACAGGGAAACAAGATAGGGAAGGTCTCTGGCTTGAGGGGTGGGAGGGAGAACACATTGTATTTAAAATAACAAGTTTAAACCTGTGCTCACCTATTTGAAATAACAATTGGGTTATGAAAAGGCTTGGATTTGGTATAATATTGCTTTTCCCATTTTCTTTGTATAGCAGGGTGTTTATAAAGGGAGATGTTGTTCTATTCATAACTTTAAAAAATATTTTTTATTGATCTCAGAGAGGAGTGGAGAGGGAGAGAGAGATAGAAACATCAACGATGAGAGTCATTGATGGGCTGTCTCCTGCGTGCCTCATACTGGGGATCAAGCCCACAACCCAGGCATGTGCCCTGACGTGGAACTGAGCCATGACCTCCTGGTTCGTAGGTCGATGCTCAACCACTGAGCCACGACAGCTGGGCTATTCATGACTTTTTAAAAAGAGGCAATAAAATGCTGACTGTTATCAGCAAGCTTTCTTAGAAACAAAGCAGATGAAGGTTTCCCCCTATGTGACTAGTACTCAGAAAGTATATGTAATTCTCATTGCATCAGCTAAAGCAAAATATAGTCAAGTAGAGGAAAATGTCCTGGAAAGGTGAATTAAAATGATCAAACACTTGGGATGGATAGAGAAAACTATATTTTGAAGCTGAACTAAAAATCATAAATAGTATGGAAAACGTAAACATATATTTTCTTCTATCAAGCCAGAAAAACTTGAGTTACAAGCTGGCATTTGAAGCTAAACTGGCACAATTTATTTCTTGAAGAATTTATATAGGTTGAAAAAGTAATTATCTAATAATGCCTCACAGAGAGGTTAACAATAAGATTATTAATGGAATTGAGCATCATTTAACAAATACCAATAGCCTTTTTTGAATTTGGCCTGAAGACATTCAACATGCCTTCACATAAATACATTGGGATCACTGAGAAAAATAAAATTTTAGATTGATGCTCAACAGTTCTCTCTGTATATTGATTATTGTAAAGGTAAAAAGTTTTCTGGGTTAGTTGAAGGTTTTAACTTGAAGGTAAATCTCAAATGTTGGTTAATGATCACTAAACTAAAAGAAGTGGGTTTAAAAAGGTGATTTTTAATGAAAAGGTAATTCTGGAATGGAGAACAAGATTATTGTGGAGAGATTTGTTACTTAGTATTTCTTTAAACAAATAAATATGAATGGAATTCCCATTGGTAGTTAATATTCTTGTCTCTTTCAGAATCTTTGAGTAGTTAACAACTTTCAATAGTTTCATCTTTCTTTATAAGATTTCTTTCAGAAAATGTATTATATTAATTCCTCTCTTCTTCTTTTATAAAGACGAACCAGTTGCTTTATTTTCTTACTTTTTCACCTGTTCTTTCCTATGATTAATGGGTTATTCAAACAATATTTTAGTATTAATAAAAACATAAAATAATATAGATTTATGGCAAAACTTATTCTTTAGTGTTTATTTCATGGTATATTTACATTTTAAATTAGTCAGTCATTTAGGAAATTTACTGACTGAAAAATGGTCAGATCCTCAGAACAGGAAGTTTTATATGATAAGATCTTTTACCAGATAATAATCATTGTTATGCAACTGGATTAATTTTGGTTAATGTTAATTATCCATTAAAGTTAGTAGCTTCACAGCTTTGTTGTCTATCTGAAAACACTAGACAAGGATCATCATGCTGTACATACTGAGAATAACAGTTATTCTCATGTTTCTATGGAGGCTCCAATTTTCAAACACCCCAAGGGAAACAAAATCTTGTTAACCACACACATTATTATCTTTTAATTCTTCAATCTCGGTAATTAGTTTTCGTTTCATGATTATGATTTTAGGAATTATAATTTTATTTTCAAGTTACCTTGGTATGATGATACCAGTGTGATTTCATTTGTGGGAAAGTATTATTTTTACATCACCTAAAATGCAAGGCAGGGCACTTGAGAAGACTAATTCTTGATATGTTCCTTCTCTAAAAAACAAACAAAAAAACAACAAAAACCCAAAACGTTTCCTTTTCAAGATTAGAAGTGTAACTCTATTTTCTGGTATAACTATGTAATTAGAAAGTAAGGTGTTGCCCAGCTGGTGTTGCTCAGTGGTTGAGCATTAAACTATGAACCAGGAGGTTGCTCACGGGTTCGATTCCTAGTCAAGGCACATGCCCAGTGCTACATAATCTTTACTTAGAATAACCTCCTTCAGTTACTTCCTTGTAGCTTAATAGAACAATAGAGTAACCTTGGAATGGAGATAAGAAACGCCCTAACCTTTGGAATAGAATGGATAGGATTAAGATCAAATAGTATAAATACAAATGTAAGAGGACAATAAAGGGAGGAACCTGGCTATGATGAGAGGAACCTGGCTAGGAGGAACCTCGCCAAGACGATCACCTAAACGCTGCCTCCGTCCACACCTATGGGGAACCCCTGGACCTGTTGGGGCTGGACCCCAACAGCCCTGGTTGCAGGTTGTTTCCCATTCTGGTACAGGGCATGTAGGAGGCAGCCAATTGATGTCTCTCTCTCTCTCTCTCTTCTAAAAAAGAAATAAAAACATATTTAAAAAAGAATACAAATAGATAAGAATGAGAAATAGTTATTTATTTTGGTAACAATATTTGTTTTCCTTCTGGGAACACTGGAGGATTTCCCTTCCCTGTTACCTTGAGGTGTGATTTTCTTTGACCAATGAAATGTGGATGTGTCTCAATTCCTAGCAGAAGTATGTAATTGCCAGTGCAAGACTCTCTTGTGCAGTTTTATGATGTTGCAGGAATTATGAAAACACAGGTTGATGTTGAGATGCCATAATCTAGAGGCAGTTTGGGATGCTGAGTCAACGTGTGGAGGAAAGCTGTCTTAGGTATTCTCCCATAACTACAGAAGACTTTGCAGGAGCCAGAAATACAATTGTGTTTATTTTATTTTAATTAATTAATTTAACTGGGAAACATTGATGTGAGAGAGACACATCAATTGGTTGCCTCCTGCATGCACCCCAAACAAGGTCTGGGATCAAGCCTGCAACTAAAGTGTGTGCCCATGACTGGGATCAAACTTGGGACCCTTCAGTCTGAGGGCCGTTGCTATATCCACTGAGCCAAATGGGCTAGGGCCAATTGTGTTTATTTTAGAGGGAAAACTGAAATAGTCAGTGTACAGCAACATATTCATTGGGATTCCAGTGTCATTAGGCTAATGTGAACAGAATAAATTTTAAGAGGAGAACATTACAATTGATAGAACATTATTATTGACTTTTTAAAAAATCCTCACTGAGGATATTTTTCCTATTGATTTCTAGAGAGAATGTGAAGGAGGCAGGAGGGGTGGAGAGAGAGATAGAAAGAAACATCCATGTTATAGACACACAATTGGTTGCCTCCCATATGGGCCCCTACCAGGACTGCAGAACCTGCAACCAAGGTATGTGCCCTTGATCAGGAATTGAACCTGTGATCCTTCGGTCTGCACGAGTAAGCTAACCACTGAGTGACTGGCCAGCGCTATTATTGACTTTTTTTTTTAAATTAAGGCATCTGACCATTAAGCAGATTAGATAACTTGGATCCCATGGGAAAAATTATTGTGTTGTGGTTTCTTTTTTTTTTATATATAAAAGTTAAAAAAAAATAAACAATTTAAAATGTTTTAGGGTCTGGCCACTGTGGCTCAGTGGTTGAGCATTGACCTATGAACCAGGAGGTCAGGGCACAAGCCAGGGTTGCAGGCTTGATCCCCAGTAGGGGGCATGCAGGAGGCAGCCAATCAATAATTCTTTCTCATCATTGATGTTTCCATTTTCCTCTCCCTCTCCCTTCCTCTGTGAAATCATTAAAAAAATACATTTAAAATGTTTTAGATCCTCCTATTCCTCCCCTCCTCCTCCTCCTCTTCCTTTTTCTTCTTCTTGTTGTCTTGCTTAGTATCCATTCCTTTTTTTTTTTCCTTCTAGGGCTTTGTTGTAGTTTTGTGAAAGACTGAGATGAAGATATTGCAAGAATAAATGCTCAGACACATAAACCTTAGGGAATTGACAGTTCATTTTGATAAACGCAAAGGGTATTGCTGCACCAAATTATCACAAACTTTGTGGCTTAAAACAACAGAAATGTATTTCTCGTAGTTCTAGAGGCCAGAAGTCCAGCATCCAGGTGTTCTGGCAGGGCCACGGTCCCTCTGAAGACTCTAGGGGCGAATTCATCCTGGCCTCTTCCAGTTTCTGGTGGTTCCTTGGCTTGTGGCAACATAACTCCAATTTCTGCCTCACATTTCTTTCCTGTGTCTCTGTGTATCTTTTCTTTTTCTGTCTCTTATAAGGACACCTGTCATTTGATTATGGCCAACCCTAATCTAGGATGATGTTAGGGGTTAGAGTTACCTTAACTATATCCATGAATATCTTTATTCCAAATAAAGTCACGTGCTAAGGATCTGGGTGTGTACTATTCAACCCACTACAGATGTCAAGAGATGTCAAGCTGGGTGGTATTTGTTCAGCATGCCTTCTCATTCTCTTTTCCCCACTGGGGGAAATGTGCTTGGATTTCTGGCATTGGCACTCTATTTCTCCGAGGGAGAGAGATATGCTAGATCCTCAGAAACCCTGAATAACAGAATATACCTCATACCCCCAGCCATGTTATTCCAAAAATTCAGCAAAATTACCTTAAGGGATTACAAAAATTGCCGTAACTAAGCTATATTTCCAAGAGCTAATATGTGGTATAATTTCTTAATATGTCAATAGTAGCCAGTATGTTGGCCACTGATTAGCATGTCAAAATTACTGGGTATTAAAAACATGCAGTTGCATTGCAACTACGGAGTGATGTAATGGCCAGTCTGTAGCTATGTGAAATCAGTTTAAGATCCAAGAGAATTTGCTTACATGAGGTCTTGCACTGGCCTTCACTTCACAAGAGCAACCTTGCCATTTTCAGTCCACATTATTTAGGAATCACTTATTTCATCTCCTGGCTTCAACAATGAATATGTGACCCATGTCTGGTCAAGTGAGAACCATCACAACTATTGACTAAAGGAAAGATATGCCATCTCAACTGGCTCAAAGGAAGTGATATTTTAGGATTTTTGCTGGGACTATCAGGAAAAGGGCACTTTCTATTGAGAGTCACTCAATGTAGACTAAAAGCTACTTTGGCCATTTTGCCATCACATGGGAAAAGCATAAACGTGGAGATACTGAAGTGTGTATACACAGCTCTGCCTGAAACCAGTAAATAATTATCCATTTCCATGTATAAGACAGTAAGTGATGCTCTGCTTTCTTAAGTCAGTTCATTACTAGAGTATGATTAAAATAAATATACACTTCCATACAGGGTGTGAATAAGTTTCTTAAGATAGGACTCAAGAGAGAAATTAGTATTGATTTTTAGCACCAGGAAAAGCTAGTTTTTCTTTAGAAAATGTTTTTGCTGTTCTTTTATGGACACTTTTTCCTCTTTCTGAAAGCAAAATTTGTGACCTTAGAGTAACTGAAAATGATTATTATGTATGTTGGACACTGACCCACTCCTAAATTCATTTTATTTTCTTCCCTATGTTATCTTTATCTTATTTTTATATTGGTTGTGTGTGAAGGGGCCAATTAAGAATTAATAAAAGCATTAGCACTAAGAAAGGGATCAATTATACTATTCAAATATTTAAATGTAGTATAAAATGGAATATTCCTAAATTAAGAACACATTTTCCAAGTGAGAAATTATTAACTTTCAAACATCTGCAAACAGTTCAGAAAACAAAGTTAAATCACAAAAACAACAATTGATTGAAGTACCCTTTGATTCCTATGTGCATCACTTGAAGAAATGGTTTAAAAAAAGACATACTGTAGCCAAAAGAATTGAAAGCAGGGTCTGAAAGATAGATTTTTCACACCCATGTTCATAGCAGCATTGTTCACAATAGCCAAGAGGTGGAAACAACCCAAATATCCATGAATGGATGGATGAATAGCCAAACAAAATGTGGCATATACACACCTGGGGACGAATAGATAAACAAAGTGTGGTATATACACACATTATAATATTATTCAGTCTTAAAAAGGAAGGAAACCCCATCACATGCTACAACAAGGGTGAAACTGGAGGACATTATGCTGAGTGAAATAAGCCAGTCACAGACAAATACTGTGTGATTCCACTAATATAGGGTAACTAAAGTGATAACATTCATAGAAACAGAAAGTAGAATGGTGTGTGGGGGTATGTGGTGGAGAAGTGGGAGTTGTCTAGTGAGTATGGAGTTTCAGATTTGTAAGGTGAAAAGTTCTGGAGATCTGTTTCACAACAATGTGAATATACTTAACATACTAAACTGTATACTTAAAAACGGTTGAGATGGTAAATTTTATGTGTTTTAACCCAATAAAAAGGGGAAGTGATATATTCCAGAGTTTAAAATAGCTATTTTTCAAAGATGAAAGTTATGAATAAACTTAGACCAGACAATAGTCTAGTTTTAAATCTATAGGATAAGCAGTAATGCCTACCTTTTGGCCACATGATGTCGCTGTCTACCACAGAGTGTTCTCTAGGAGGAAAAATACCCAGAGCCCCATTGTCACTCCAGAGAAGCGGAACAATAAGAGAAGCAGGAGACTAGCGGAGAATATTTCAAATTTTACAAAACATGATTTTCTAATTTGATCAACTCACTGAGGATTGGTAATGGTGTCTTCTATGAGAAGGGACCCGGAGGTCGGGCGTCTGCTGCTCTCCATTCTATTCCTGGCAGCCTGGGAGGCTGGGAGCGGCCAGGTTCACTACTCGGTCCCCGAGGAGGCCAAGCACGGCACCTTCGTGGGCCGCATGGCGCAGGACCTGGGGCTGGAGCTGGCGGAGCTGGTGCCGCGCCTGTTCCGGGTGGCGTCCAAAGGCCGCGGGGACCTTCTGGAGGTAAATCTGCAGAATGGCATTTTGTTTGTGAATTCTCGGATCGACCGCGAGGAGCTGTGCGGGCGGAGGGCTGAGTGCAGCATCCACCTGGAGGTGGTGGTGGAGAGGCCGCTGCAGGTTTTCCATGTGGAGGTGGAGGTGAAGGACATTAACGACAATCCGCCTGTATTTCCAATGTCGGTCAAGACTATTGGGTTTCCCGAATCGAAGCTGCTTGACTCGCGGTTTCCTCTAGAGGGAGCAACTGATGCAGATATCGGAGTAAACGCTCTTCTTTCCTACAAGCTCAGCTCCAGTGAGTTTTTCTCTCTAGACATACAGACAAATGATGAACTAAGCCAGTCTTTGTCTCTTGTGCTTAGGAAATCTCTGGACAGAGAGGAGACTGCCGCGGTTAGTTTGTTACTGGTGGCTACGGATGGCGGCAAACCTGAGCTCACGGGCACCGTTCAATTGTTTATCAATGTATTGGATGTGAATGACAATGAACCTACTTTTGACCAATCAGTTTACAAAGTACAATTGTTAGAGAACACCGCAAACGGAACGTTAGTGATTAAGCTAAATTCTTCTGATGCGGATGAAGGATCAAACAGCGAGATTGTGTATTCATTTAGTAGTGATGTGCCCTCCACTATAAAGACCAAGTTCAAAATAGACCCCAACACAGGGGAAATCAGAACTAAGGGACAATTAGATTATGAAGTAGCGAAATTCTACGAGATTCAAGTCCTTGCATATGACAATGGGACTCCGACAATGACTGGGCACTGTAAAATTTCAGTGAAAATTGTGGACATCAATGATAACACACCAGAAGTCTCAATAACATCTCTTTCACTTCCGATCCGAGAGGACGCTCTGCTGGGCACAGTAATCGCCCTTATTATGGTGTCCGATCGCGACTCAGGTGCCAACGGGCAGGTGACCTGCTTACTAACACCTCATGTCCCCTTCAAGCTGGTGTCTACCTTCAAGAATTACTATTCTCTGGTGCTGGACAGCGCCCTGGACCGCGAGAAGCTGTCACACTACGAGTTGGTGGTGACAGCGCGGGACCAGGGTTCGCCTTCGCTGTCGGCCACCGCCAGCCTGTCCGTGGAGGTGGCCGACGTGAACGACAACGCGCCGCTGTTCGCGCAGCCCGAGTACACGGTGTTCGTGAAGGAGAACAACCCGCCCGGCTGCCACATCTTCACGGTGTCGGCGCGGGACTTGGACGCGCAGGAGAACGCGCTGGTGTCCTACTCGCTGGTGGAGCGGCGGGTGGGCGAGCGCGCGCTGTCGAGCTACGTGTCGGTGCACGCGGAGAGCGGCAAGGTGTACGCGCTGCAGCCTCTGGACCACGAGGAGCTGGAGCTGCTGCAGTTCCAGGTGAGCGCGCGCGACGCGGGCGTGCCTCCTCTGGGCAGCAACGTGACGCTGCAGGTGTTCGTGCTGGACGAGAACGACAATGCGCCTGCGCTGCTGCCTCTGCCTCC